CTATACCTGGTAGCTGCACTATAGCTACCCTGGGTCTCTATACCTGGTAAGGTGCCAACTACACCTTTCCATTCAGATGATGCAAATGATGCATTTGGCATTTCTTGCATCACCACCGCTCAAAAATCACCTCCAACACAACCTCGAAAAACCTTCCCTCGAAGCACCCTCCTCCCCCAGCATGTGCCGAGTTTACGTGTACCTTTCCCGGGCCACCCCCCCAGACCCCCTAACTACTCACTTCGTTCGCCAGACACAACTCCGCTAGCGCCTTCTACGAAGGCTGGCTTTCGTAACAGATAGTTACCATGTGGTTTCAGAGTAGACGGTTACAGTGGTCCAAGTAGACGGTGGTGCAATGATGGACCTCGCTGAGTCCTAAACGGTCCACCGTCGGTCCTCGAAAAGAATTCGTTGAAGGACCTGACGCGAACCCACAAAAAATGGGGGCGCCTTAGTAGGGGAAAGGTCACACCTCCCCTGGAATCATCAACTCGTGTGCCCCCGAACCCCCAAAAAACAGGAACGACTGGATCCATTTTTCGGGGGAGGGGGGCACGAGATGGCACGGTCGGCGACGTCGACGACACACTCCGCCCGGTTGGACGAAATGCCTCGCTCGGTTGGAACGGATGGCATTCGAGTGAGGCGTGTCGTCTCTGTTGCGTGACTGCACGATGGGTCGACTTGGCGAACAGCGCGGCGAAGGGTTTGGTTTGGACCGTCGATGTCAACGACGCGACGTCCGGGAGAATGCACGGCAGTATGTATGGCGGGGGGGTCCCACAGTCCAAGCAACTGTGATGCCTGGAATTGGAAGACCGGCCAAAGAGTTCGGTGGACCTGGTTTTACTGTATCTATATAAAATCTAAACTCCTTAGTTCAAACAATTCTTCCAATTTGGTGCCTCTTGCCAATCCCTGCATCAGATCAACCAGGTCAGGTTAGCAGTTTTTGCATGGTGAGAACATCGGTGAAGTGACTAAGTTACAGGCCAAAAAGAGTGAGGCAAACAAAGACACGATGGGCGACCAGGTTCACTGGTTCACTGCCGCTGCATTCCTGGCTAGACCTGAGTGACTACAACTACGACTGGATCTCCTTTCACACCTGGAGCGCCGAGTCGCTGCGACAAGGGGGAGATGACAAGTGGGCTGGGCTGGCCTCATGAGGGAAGGCCGTGTATCTCCCACTGAACATGGAAAATGCTGCTTCATTCCATGCTGTACAGCAAAATACCCTCCGCCCTGCCAGTTGCATTCGGGGTCACCAGTTGGTTTCCATATGGAGTTGGGTAGTCGCGAGCAGACTGGACCCTTGATTTCAGTCCAACAGGTGTTTCATGCATTAGTCAGCACATGGCCTAGATGTTCCACTCATTTTGCCTCAATAAGTCATCCTCCCCCACGACCAGGCCGGGGTAAACAGAGTCATTTTCCTGGACTCTGGATTGAAAACACACGAACACACATGAAAACACCCTTGTGTCTGGTCAGAGGATGAGGATGAGGGGATGCCTCCTGTTTCAGCCCACTGCAACGTCGAGCGCCCCGCAAAGCGGGCACACGATCCGCACCAGGCCGTGGGGAGTCTGCCGCCGCCGTTGCTCCGAGCGGGCCCAGCTGGTCAAGCAATCGCTGTGGTAGCCTTTCAGCACCGGGCGAGTGATCGATCAGAGTCAAGGATCACAGCCTTAGGGATCCGTTTTCGTACCGAACCGACCCGGTTCGGTACGACTGGACCCTGCAAACCTACAGTGTCGAACACATCACCGTACCTGAGGTTCGGTACGAGGTTCGGTACGACTGGATCCCTAGGGCAGGTCAGGTGCCGCTTCTCTGCGAGATCGGCTCCCGCGCGTCGGTCGCGGGGTGCGCGGGGTGCGCGGTTTTCGGGCCGCTGGCCGCTGGGAGTTCGGAGGCTTAAGTCTGAAACGTGGATCAGAGGTGTATAGCAAAAGAATCCAACCCTGACCCTCCAATGCAAGCACCTTATGAACTATACAAGGACCATCCGGGTGTCCAGAGACTATCCAAGAGAACAACAGGACACTAGACAGGATGGTCCAGGTATGTGTTTCTTTTTAATGGATGTATGGCACGAGGCACGCGGTTCGGCGGTTCTCGGGGTCCGGAGTCCAGTGGACCAAGGGATCTGGGCACGGATGGCGTGGATGGCGTGGATGGAACCCCAAAGGCTCCGTTCACAACCCTACTTCTGGTCCCTCAAAACCTGTCCCAGACGCTCACCAACCCCATTTTTCACTGCGGACTGCCGATCGCCGATCAGTTGAGGGGGATTTGGGTTCGTCCATGGCACCTAGTCCAGTCCCCTGAAGTCTGGGACCCTGGGAGGTGTTGTCACCCCCCATCCGACCCCTCCAGCAACGGAGTTCCGTGGGGGGAACCGTCCGGGGGACCTCGGGTCGCTTCCGGTGGGCCGTAGACCGTGTGAAGCCATCACCCTCAAAGATAAAACTTTGCCGGCTATGGGTCTACCCAACACCAAAAAACATCTATTATATATATATATATAATTAAGGTTTTCCGGTTTTCTGTCTGGTGTTGGTTTCCTGTCAATGCTGGAGTAATGCTCTCATGTTCGGCTGCTTTTTGCCCCATGTGTTTCAGGGGGGCTGATTCGGTCTCGCTTTTTGGCCGGAGCGAGTCTTGATGAAGACATGTTGTCAGTTCTCCATATAGCTGACGGGTGCTTCGCAGGGAATGAAGGAATGATCCTCCACTACAGTATATAACCCTAGGGATCCTGTCGTAGCCTCCTGAGAAGGTACTTGGATTCCTAGGGTAATACCTTAGGAACCATTCCCCCATTCTCTACTAAGCACGAGTCAGCATGATGCTCTACCCCTTGGGCCGGAAAGCGGGGGCCGGTGCCCACAAGCTCGAGAGGCCGGGAGGCCCGGGAGGCCATGGGCACATGGGAGCCCTCTTGCAACTAACAGGGCCCCACAAACCATCAAAGACCTTGTTTTCCTTAGCTAAGAAACATGGTGTTTGTATGAAAACCTCTATGTTTCATGGGCTTGAGGATGTTTGAGGGCCACTGGTATGTAGAGTCAAAGTACATCCAAGATGAATAGCTGTACAAGCCATGTCAATTCTGATCTATGATGAACTAGGCCATCACCACCTTATTATTTCCTCAGAATCTCATCAGAATTTCTCGTGAAACATCCTGCGAAGCTACGACTTCATCTCTTAACAGCTCATCCTTTTCTCTACATATGCTCTAAATGAACAAATCCTAGCAAGTCCTATAGCTCCGCAATCACCTCATGTTCTCGAACAAACACGCGGGGCAACATCGTTTCCCAAGTCTTTCGAAGGCGCAATGCTTGCATTTTAACTGCTTGGCAGATGCGACGTCGAAGCCCTCTAAGCACACCGAGCAAACGTCGCCCTCGCCCGGCTGAGCCTCCGTCGACATCGGTCGACCGTCTGGGTGGCGTGGGTTTGGGGGGACAGTCCTGGACGGTCCGGGTGGGTCTGGGTGGGTGTTTCTCCTCTTTTTTCCAAACACGACCTCTCAGCCTGACATGTTGTCATCTGGGTCAGTGCTTGGTTGAACACATAAAGGTTCCAGGGAGTCGGGCCAGCGTAGAGTCCAGTCTCACGGAGTCATGTTGCTTCCTTTGGGCTTTTCTTCAAACACACCGGTCACCACATCACACGTCACACTCCGGTCGTCCTGCTTTTTGCGTTCCTCGTTCCACACCGGGATAAGCCGGGAGGTCCGCAGTGTTCCAAATGATTCCAGAGGCAACCCTGGACCCGAACCAACTGCTACATGTTGGTGTGGTCCAAAACCCTAGCTAAACTGCGGGTCAAAGAGTCAAACTGAGGGTCCTTTCTGAGCCTTTGTTTCAGCACATCTAGTCATCCTGGATGTATACAGGGACATTCAAGAATAGTCAAGCCAACGGGACACCGGTCATGTTGTTGCAGGTGTATATTCTATCAGACCTTCACCGGTCGACGCGGCGGATTTTTTCGACCCGAATGGCTGGGGTCGGACGGGGTCGAAGCAAGGGACCCGGTTTTGAGGGACCGGTCAAGCGAACGTTGGAGCGTTGGCCCTCGAGGTATTGATGGAAGCGGTTCGAGCTCAAGGGCCGGTGATGTGCATGAAGTCTTGGACAAGACCCATCTCCGACTCCTGATGGAGTGTTCAGTCATGCCGAAGGGCAAGTTGGCAGCTTTATAACATAGTGTCTAAATCATCTACTTCGTGCTGGCAAAATAGAGCAGCCAGCACTTCCGGGGCGTTGATAGACAGGACTTTTTGAGGGCAAAGCCATTGGGGAACATGAGAGATCTTGAATCCAACCCTCCTCAAACACTGTGTGTCATTTAGGACAACAACATTTCAGAGGAACACCAAATATCGACCGATCAAAAAACGTTCGCCCCATGAAGGACCATCCAACGGCAAAAACCGGCAAACGCTGCAGTCACGTTCTCATCGCTGCAAATCCGACCCGTCTACAATGAATTCCATCCTACATTGCTGGGCCCCACAAGGTGCAAAGTATTCACTGCCCTCTCCACGGCCGGGGGGGCGAAACAAGACACGTCCATCTCCAAGCCTCTGGCAACTCTCTTTCGATGGCCGCCTTCAGATCCTCCGGCTCCGGCTTCTGAAGCAAGTAGGAGTGAGGCAACAAGAAGGCACTGAAGACCTGAAAACTGGCCGAAAAAAGGGGATCTATATAAGTGGTTGATGGGCCAGGTGTGGAACAGAATAAAAGTATCTAATCATCATAGGCCCCTCTGGAAGGTGAGGATCTACTGTAACTCTCAAATTGTTGCAGAGTGGTAACCACATGTAAACACTGAGGTTGCTGGCAGGCTGGCACGGCATGTTTTCCATCAAACAGTTTCTCCACACGTGCGCATTTGTGCTGGGTATTGATGGCTCTGTCTTGTGCAAAAAGAAAGATGGTGGGGCAGAAAGATGGTGCGTTCTCCTCTTGCTCCTTTAGCTGGATTTCGTCACGTGTTCCAGGGCCTTTGGAACACAAAGACCATCAAAGACCTCACGAGATACATGTAGATTCTTGATTAATGAATGAAGCACCATGAAGCACCCTCATTGGGACGGAAAGATCTCTTCATATGGTGGGTTAGCGTATATCAAGATTCTACATTAAGTGAACTCTGCCAGCTATATATATATATACTCTTGAGTGTCCCAAAGACCCCCCAAGACAGCTGTCTTTGGTGGGACGATTCTTGTTCCACCAACTAAATCGATCCTTGGATCAGCTAGACACTGTATTTGGGCAAATAGTAGCGGCTAGCGGTGTCTTTTTTCTGGAAAGGCAAGTATTTCTGTTTGGAAGATCCAGGTCTATCATATCTAAATACTAAAATTACTAAAATATGTTAAAATTTATACAGGATTACATACGGCAGTATTATATATTTTAATATGAAGGTAGGAGAGTCTAGCAATCACACTGTTCCTTAGGTCACTGGTGGTGCTAGCTGCTAGGGTGCTTAGCTGTGAACTCGTGGCAAAACCTGGTTTTATGCGACAAACAACTCCTAGAATCATGCCCTGCATGTCGAGGTCAGCAAACGATGGGCTGTTGGGAAGAAAGGCATGCCCTTGATGTCCAGAAGTTCAAACCAAGTCATGCAGCATCATGCAGCTCTTGGGTTTCATCCACGCTTCATTCATGGTGTTTTATGAAACAGGACGTATGAAACAGGACGGAACATGCTTGCACTCAACGTCTCATCCCTGGAAGACAGGATCCAGCAAAATGCTTCGAACATCTTCGAACCACCCTCCCCGAGGAGGAAATTCCCTAAACAACGAGATTTCGAGTCAACCCCCAAAGAGCTCCACAAATGTCTTCAACCACAGAAAAGCAACGGAAGATCTGAAATCTGTTCCACCCAAAAGCATCGCACCAAAAAGGAAAAACACGCAAAACAATTATACATAGTATATTATCAAAAAAAAACAATAATAATAGTATAAATAGACAAAAGGCGGGTGCATAGCTTCTGTTTCCAGCACCGTCCCGATTGAAATCCAGTCAAACCCTCCTCCGCTCGCCGCTCCGACAAGTGTAGAGACCCCATGACGGAGAATTCACCAACATTCGAACAGTCGACTAATAGTCTAGAAAACAAGCGTGATGACTCCGAAAGTGATCGAAACCAACATTTTCCACATACACGACTGTAACATCGATTAAAATGTTCGAGACTAACACAATGACTCTGACTGTTGAGCTCTCTCTCTCTCTCTCTGTCCTCCCGCCGAGGCTCGGCGGCGCCGAGCACCGCGAAGACGCCGGCAATGATCCATCCCGTGAGGGTCCAAAATTCCATCGGTGTTTTAAAGAAAGGTGAAGGCCAAGGCCGCCATGGGTGTCACGCAGTTCGTGCACTTTCGTCGCACGACATCATTCGGCGGGCGCACATCTGAAGGCCAAGTGGCGGAGGATGGCGGAGGTGCAAAGTGCAAAGGAAATTGAAGGGAGAGGAGAGGGAAGAAAGGCAGAAAAAGACCGCAAGGTCCCTGGAGTGGCCAAAATATTTGGAGAATTCGGTGTTGTCCATGTGGTGGGGACTCAACGAGCAGTCTCCGATTGCGACTGTCCGATGGCAACAGCGATCTGCCGAAGGTGGCCGATCTATTTGGATGTGTTCTTAGTCAAAACAGGATGACCACGGTGGGCACTAGCCGGGCTGCGAAGTACCAGTACCATGTAACCTCAGCTGCTTAGCTAGCTGCTATGTGGCTATTGGTTCTGCACCTAAAGAGTGTTTATTTTTCTTAAGCGGAAGCCAAGTTCATCCAAGTTCCAATCTCTGCCGTAGGATTGATCTGGGAGGAGAGTCACGAAAAATATTGGGCAGAACAAGGGTTTTCAGCGGATTCAGAGCCGGTTTCTATACATTGTCCACATTTGTCCATCTTCTGTGCCACGCTGTGCCCAGCGACTGAGGTCCAGAGCACACGCACACTGAGAAGAGAAGAGGTCGCGCATCACCCCAATACCACGTACACCGGGCACCGCGTTCATCCACCACGCGCGCATGGGGCGGCCGTGGCAGCCGCCAGAGTCGGCTTCCAGGGTTCCGGACTCGCCCTCCGGTGGATCCTCCACGGGCTCCTCTTCCTTTGCCACCTCCAAGGAGGTACCTAGGTTGGAGGCCATCGCGATTACCCTCGCTACTGGAGGCCATCGCTTTTAGGTTGGAGGCCATGGCTATTAGGATGGAGGCCATCGCTATGAGGCAGGAGGAGCGCTTCGGACAATTTTGTGGTGTTGGGGTACACGATCGAAGGGTCGTTTCGGCGAAAATATGAAAAAGCTGAGCCCGTTCTCTTCCAGGTTGGTTGAGAACTTGGATCCAAGTTGAAACCGGCTTGGATCGGGGTAGGTGGCACTTCTTGGCCGCCAGGGTGAGGCTGTTTGACCATTTTGGAACACATTCTTTGGCCACAATGGACGCACCAAGACCCACAGAACCTGTCCCTAATGATATCTGCTCTCTCCAAGGCGCTGCCGATGCCGGTCAAGGGCTTCTCGCCGCTCAGCTCCAGCAAACGCACCGCCTCCTGGGCAGGCCAAGGGTGACGAGCCATGAAGAAGGATTTGCAGGAAGGAACTACACTCCCTGGAACTAACATGGAAGTGGAGAATGGCCCCTTGGAAGGCATTTTCCACTACAAACAGGTGGTTTTCCACTTCCATTTTAATTCCAGGGAGAGTAGCAGGAAGAAATCCCAGATGAGGAACTAGCAGGAAGGGGGTTCACACTGGGTTCGGGAAAAGAAATCAAGCGCCCGGCGTGGGAAATGGCTGCTCGAAGTTCCGCTGGTCAGCATATATTGTGAACTGCTGAGAGATCCTACAGCCCCTCTGATATCACAGAAATAGAACACAGCATGATGTGGATGTACGATGGAAAACTATGCACATGTAAAACTTCCATCAGGTGGATATGCACATTGTTGCGCTATGTAAGCGAACTGACTCTAATTTTCTTGTTGGGCACATCCAACAACAAAGCCGCCTGAGTCTTGTGCTTTCAAAAAAACGGGCATCAATCATGAAGAAAATCCGAGTGGTCAAAGCTGAGTCTCCACTTTAAACCCTAAACCCTCAAATAGTGAAGTCCTGGGTTTCGGGATGTTTCTTCGGTTTAGTCGTTAAAACCGGGGGGCCGTCTTTCTACCGGTCGTTCCCCGGTCTGCCATGAACAAGCCGGGAACGTCCAAGCCGGGAGGGTGGCAAGGTACTGGGTCCCATCCCTGTTCGGAGCAACCCCTGGGCCACCATTAAGATGGGATTCCTGGGGAGAGACCTAGGACCGATTTGATGGGTGTTGTTTACATACATGTTTGTTTAAACCAAACAACCCCTTGTCTTACGAAGAATTCTACACTACAAAGCACCTGAGCTGAGCTCTCTTTTTTTCGGCAGGCGAAAATGAAAAAAGACACACATCACCCACCACGTCGCTTCTTTTCGACTCAGAACGAAGGTGCACGACGGATCGGCAGGTGGTGGCGCCTCTGGTGTTGGAGCCGTGAGTGGAGCGAACCTGCGAGGCGTCGGAGCAGAGGTGCCGGGCTGGGAATCGCACCCCCCCCAGGGCAATCAAACAGTCAGACAGCAAGCTGACAACTCAGGTTTCCCATGAAGAATAGAGGTGTAAAACATACCAAAACGTGTGGCTAAGGAATACTAGGTCTTTGATGGTCTATGGGGGTACATTGACAATCGTTGGAACAAATAGGGTTAGAAAGGGTCAACGACCAGCAACCCGACTCTACAGGTCACCAATTGAGACCTCTTCAGGCCTAGCAACCCTCCAAGACCTATTGGAGGGTGCTGCGGTGCTGGTATTTGGTTTCTCATGTCCCAAAAAGATCTGAACACTTCTACCACCAAGCCAAACACTAAGATGCAGCGACTATTGCAATGCTGGAATTCAGGTACTGGAATTCCAGGTATTCTCTGAATTCCTCCAGTATTAGTGTCTCATCAAACCAAACAGGAATGCCTGGATCTGATCTATCTCACCTTCTAAGATTCTAAAAGCTGTGGACACATTCCCACCAAATCTTAAAAACAGAGACAACTCACTTCTGAGAGCTGGAAGGTTCCTTCCTCTGCTTCCTCTGCGCTGGGCGTTTTCTCATCGGACACATTTCTTGAGAGTCTCGCCATGTCTCGCCACACCACGAGTCGCATGCCAGGCACCGCAATAAGACTTTGCACCAACTCTCGAGACAGCAACTCGCGCGTCTCGGGGCCCCAAACTGGAAATCCTTCCCGGCGAAGAAGAAGTGTTTCCTCGGACATGTCGAAGACTCACGCGCAGTTCGCGAATCCGCGCGCGGGTCTTGGGGAGGGTGGCTTGTCACGATCCATCGACCCCGTCTCAAAAAAACATGTCGGAAGCTGCGGAAGTCCACGTTGTTCTTCCAAAAATGAAAGCGACAGTGTGTTTGAACACGTGCGTCTTATAGGCGCCCAGCGCGCAACGATGGGTTGCAGAATGCATCTTTACAACGCAATTGTGTTTGCTCTTTAAATCATCCTGCCAGGAGTCACAAAGGGGGGCCTAGCTTGGAGGATAGGGGTGCCCAGAACATCCACTCACTTAGAGACTAAAGGCTTGTGACTCCTGGTGGATACATATTATCATCATCCATCGGTGCAGTTACTGTTATGGAAATTAGCATCCGGCAAAGGTGCCAGCTGTTTCAGATGTTCAAACAGGAAGATGTTGCCCGATGCATGTTTCATCATGTTTCCTAGGCCACGTGGAAACATGACAGCTCGAGAGACGAATCCTTTTCACCTCACAGATCTTCGACTGTCAAAAGCATTGGTGCAAATATATCCGGATGCGTTTTTGCTCTCACCCAAAATGCATTCGGGCCCCTGCCTTGCCCACTAAGCCGGGAATCCTTCAGGAAGGCTGCGCTCTGGAAAAGCTTCGCAGAGCGCAGCCTTCCTGAAGGATTCCCGGCTTAGTGGGCAAGACAGGGGCCCAATTGCCTTTGCTTTAGAGAAGGCAAGCATCCGGATAGCATCCGGATATATTTGCACCACAAACGCTTTTGACAGCCGGCCAAAGCAAAATGACAGCCAGAGTTCCATATGGCCTGCTCCTTCCAAGGCACTTGCCTTTTGTGCAGTAAGGGGTTCTCCCATTTTGGAGACTGTGGGACAATCGCAGGCAACCCTGGATGCATGTCCAACAAAATCAAGCATCTACAAACTATACAGACTGGAAAGATCGGAGATGAACCCTTGAAACCCTAAATGCCAACTATCCAATGCAAGTAGACAGAATAAATAAAAGCATCTAGAGGCAACTGTTTCCACAAACAAACCCATTCCTGCAAAATGCACTGGATTGCATTGGTATATGTTGCCGCAACGGAGTTGCGCAACGTCAGATGCCAGTTGCACAACGTGAGTTCCCGACAGGAATCAAGCGGGGGTGTGTTTGGTAGCTTTGGAAAATAAGTAAAGTCGACCTTCTCTTGTCTGGAGACATCATGGTTTCTGAGGTAAGACCACTTGGCTCAGTGTGTGCATCGTGGCCCTTTCAAGCGCCAACTTGGTCCAGCTGGTTGGCGGTGGCAATACTTTAACCCTGTGGCCACAGAACATTCCTGTCTCAAAGGCTTGTTTTGGATGAAGCTCCTGAAAGCCGACTTGGGTTCCCCGAAAGCTCCAAACAGTGCTGAGGTCCTCTTTTCCAACGCACACCCGGCAGGCCTCCACAGACCGCCATATCCACCAACGCGGGCAGATCTGCCGCAAACCGCGCCACACAGATGCAGCAGAGACCAGGCCAAGGGGCGTGGGAAACTCAAAGTTCCCAGCCGCTAGTCCATACGCCTTGGGTTGGCGAAAAGCTTGACCGTTTGTAGGCCACCCTGGATGGCACCCTGGAAGATCAAGACAGTGACTATAGTGACTAAGGTTGCCAGGAGTTCAGGAAAAATCCTGAGTTATCATCTACGTAGATGACACAACATACCTCCTGTCTGACACAAAACCCCAACCCGAAAGATCAAACTAATACCTAACAAATCCAAAACGAATCCTATTTAACAATATATAACATCAAGCACCTCAACCACCGGTGTTTCTGCCCCAAACCCTTCCCAAACCAGTCCCTGCTGTCGAGCGAAATGCCGTTCCTTCCGACAACGAACTGCCACTGAGGCGCCACGTAGTAGTCCGCCGTGAGGCCGAAGATCTGCCGGTCGCTCCGCCACGGGACCGGACGGTCTGAGGGGTGGCCCCGGAGTCCCAGAACACGACCTGTCTGGGACTGCCAGGTCTTCCACT